CGTTTAAATGTAAAGCTAATGAGCTATCTGTACCGTCACAAGAAAATTCAAGCCAGTTGAAATTAACGAAGAGAAAGATCCTTAGTAAAGTGGCTCGTGTATTTGATCCAATTGGATTCGCAGCGGCGTTCCTGATCCGTGCAAAAATCGGTTTACAACGACTCTGGCAGCAAGGATTAGATTGGGACGAAGAACTTTCATCTGAGGTTTCAAAGTGGTGGACTGAGTTTTTTGCAGAAATCGAGGACTTGAATAATGTCTCGTTCCCAAGAAGTTTAACACCAATGAACACTTTTGGACTACCAACACTTTGTATTTTTGCGGACGCGTCTCGAGATGCATTTGGAGCATGTTCTTATTTACGCTGGGAAAAGTCAAGTGGTAATTATGAAAGTCGATTTATATCTGCTAAGTCGAGAGTTGCCCCTCTTAAAGAATTGACAATACCTCGTTTGGAGCTGTAGGCAGCAGTTCTAGCTAGTCGATTGTACAAGACCATAACAGAAGAATGTCGTTTACAGTTCGAGAGAGTTATTTTCTTTACGGACAGTATGATAGTCCTTACATGGATCCGTAGTCAATCAAGAGAATTCAAACCATTTGTGTCGAGCAGGGTTGCGGAAATTCAAACGAATTGTGATCCATCGACATGGAGACACATACCAAGTGAGCACAATGTAGCCGATGATTTATCGAGAGGCATTCCAGCGAAAGATCTAGAACACCGTTGGAAGAATGGCCCAAAGTTCCTGAATCAACCCAAAGAAGAATGGCCTGAACAACCAGCTATGCCAATCGATCCCGCGGAACTCGACAAAGAACGTCGAAATACCCAAGCAGCCTTTTCCTTAAGCACCGTACCGACAGTAATTGACCCAACGAAATTTTCGAAGTGGAAGAGATTGGTGAGAGTGACGGCGTGGATCTTACGATACATACGAAATCTACGATTAAAAACGAAACCCGAAGATAATGTCGACCCGTTAACAGCTGTTGAGTTAGAACAGGCCGAAGAGTTATGGATCAAGACAGCACAAAAAGAGTTACACGAACGTGTTAAGAACAAAGAGTTCAATATGCTTAGTCCATTCACAGATGACAAAGGAATCATAAGAGTCGGCGGACGAGTGGATAAAGCTATCGTAACGTATGATTCGAAGCATCCAGTACTTCTTCCCAAGAACCACCACATTTCATACCTGATTACCAAAGATGTACATCAGATTACTCACACTGGGATAGCGTCGACAGCGGCGAAAACAAGAAGAAAATTTTGGATTATCGGAGTGCAAAAATTGGCAAAGTTAATCAAGAAAAAGTGTATTTACTGTAAGAAGTCGCATCCAAAGATTGAATCGCAAGTTATGGCCGAACTGCCGAAGATAAGATTGATGCCTCAGACACCTCCATTTTACCATACAGCTTGTGACTATTTCGGTCCGTATAAAGTCAAAATTGGAAGAAATAAAACCACTAAACACTATGGTGTTTTGTTTACTTGTCTGAATACGCGGGCAGTTCATTTGGAACTTGCAACAGACTGTTCAACAATGGAATTCATCCAAGTACTCCGAAGATTCTTCGTGATTAGAGGTTACCCTTCATTAATGTTGAGCGATAATGGAACACAACTGGTCGGCGCAGAGAGCGAACTAGCAAAGATGATCCAAGGTTGGGATGTGAAGAAACTCAAGGAGTATGCAGCCGATAAAAGAATGGAGTGGAAATTCATTACACCTAATACCCCACATCAAAACGGATGTGCCGAATCGTTAGTAAAAAGTTGTAAATTAGCCCTTAAACAAGCCATGGGAGATAACCTTCTCACACCATTTGAATTGCACACCGTACTGCTTGAAGTAGCAAATCTGGTAAACCAACGACCAATTGGTAGACCAACCAACGACCCCGATGATGGTACATACCTATGTCCGAATGACCTTTTATTAGGAAGAGCTTCCTCGCATGTTCCACAAGGACCATTCCTGAAGACAAAGAACCCGCGTCATAGAGTTGAATTTCTACAACAGATTCTTGACTCGTTTTGGAAACGATGGACCAGAGACGTCTTCCCCTGTTTAGTTTCACGAAAGAAATGGGATGTTCAACGACGCGATGTCAAAGTCAACGATATTGTCATGTTAGTTGATTCGAATGCAGTACGAGGCAATTGGACGATCGGAAGAATTATTGAAGTTCATCCAGGTAAAGATGGAAAAGTTCGAAATGTAACAGTAAAAACACAAAAGGCTAATTACCGAAGACCTATTACTAAAATCTCAGTTATACACCCCGTGGACGGAGAATAGAATGAGAACAATGTCCTCATTGGGGTGGAGGATGTTTCGCTAATTTAAAAATAGATAAATAATTACGTCATTGAACAGACACAGTCACGTGACAGAAAATAGCGGGAAATAAACACGTTGGTTTTAAGCTGTTTACTCGAGGTTTAACGTTCAGAAATAGGTTTATATTTGGTGTATTGTAAAGTGATATAGGCCAAAGAAGTAAGTTCATGTTGTTTATTATTACTAATTTACTTTATTCAGTAGATAATTCTTGTATTTATACCTTTAGATCGAATATTACTACTACTAACTACTAAAACTGATTATTATACGATATTTGGAAATTATTTGTGGTCACTTTACAACCGGTTTCTGATTCTGGCGAGCCAGTTTTCTTTTATTTTTAGGTGATAGTATCTGTTCACATGAGTGTTGCTATCAAATTTTGTACAAGATTCAATTATTATTTCACATTCCTTCACTCAAATATCCAAATAAATGGAATATGACATCAATCTGGAGGACTAGATCCTGTTTCCAAACTTGTTTTTGTAAAAATAGAAAATAACAACTTATTCTGTGTTGTTCTAATAAAAACTATTGTTTTTGATATGCATATTTAATTTTTAAAATTACATTTCATTCTTTGTTAAAATGTGTACCAGGAATACTGAAATCTTTCAAATCAACTAACAGTACTTTTATAACTTATATAGCCAAGTGTTCTATCTATTTCTGTTCAGACTAAACAAATGATGGGTAAAATATTAGATTAGATTTTTTCAAAAATATGAGCTTGCCTGTTTTCAAAGCATAAAAATCAATAAAATAAAGCAAAAGTACTTATTTTTAATTTAAAATCTTTGGACTGTACAGCTTAATGTTTTCCACTAAATATTACAAAGTTTTCGTTCATTAAAATGTTATTTTATCAGCTTTAAAACCAGATAAATCGACGAAGCACTCCTAAATATATGTCGCCATATTGATTTTTTTCGCGCATGCTCAGACAAATTGCCTACCTGTTACCGCCCTATATATAAGCGCCCTGCTTTAGACCTAATAAAACACGACCTGCGAGTTTATTAAACGGCTTCAAACACGACTACAAACTCAATAGATATACTGCCTTATTAGTATTCTTTATATAAAAAATACTAATGAGGACACGACTACAATAGATACTGCCTTATTAGTATTCTTTATATAAAGAATACTAATTAGAAGTGTTTTATCAGGTTTACAGCCACTGCACATGACATATTATGGTTGGCATGATTTGCCAATAAGCTTATGAATTATTAATGAGTGTTTGAACTCACTATAACACCACCGTCTGCATTGACCGCTTGTTGTACTTCAAGTTGGTTCAAACTCTTCAGTCCCTAATTGAATCCACTTCTCCATTATTCGTTCTCGTATGACCGGTTTCACACCTGAGCCCCCCAGTGTTGCAAAATTCTTAATATAATCGGTCTCGAGTGAAACAACAAAAATATAATAGAAATTTATTTCGTTAAAGTTTTCCCGTCTCTCTTAATCCCGTCATTCCCATATCTTAACTTGTCAATCAAAACACAATAACAATCCCATATATGATCCTATTAAATTTTATTAAATGTTGTTCATGCACGGACGCATTTATTAATGGAATTAATTGATATGAATTAAAGTATTAAGAATTCGTGAAAGATGGATATAGGTAATGGGAACCATTTAGTGCAGTGGCGTAACGCTCATTGGGTAGGGTTAGTTCAAAAACTAAGGGTCCCCGATAATTAGCCATCAGCCACTGCCTATCGCCCAGAAACTTAGAAAACGTAAAAAATGCAGGTTAAGTATCAATGGGAAACTGCAAAATTAATAATGCTAAATAATAAAGCCCAGACCTGCCAAGTTTGGAAGATAAGAATGCGTGACCAGGGCCGTTGCGAGGACTTTGCCTTTGGGGAGGGGGGGGGAATTAGATTTACCACCTGAATTGTTTCAATTCACCTGATTTTGCGACGCCCGCGAGGCCCTATCATGGTTGGCGCCGAGCAAAAAATTTTGAAAATTTGAATTCTCTAGACCGTCGAAAATAGCATGTTTAGAGTGATTCCTACCCAAGATTTCAATGTTTTACTACTGCCTAACAATGAAGATAAGTAAAATAACTACTGATCAATGTGATTACTTACAGTTTAATGTGACTAGGAAAATTGAGAAAAAATGGA